TGTTCAAACTGCTCATTATAGGGAACAGTTCTGTAGGAAAGACCTCATTCTTATTTCGATATGCTGATGACAGCTTTACGTCTGCTTTTGTCAGTACTGTTGGTATAGACTTTAAGGTCAAAACCGTCTTTAGGCACGATAAACGAGTTAAATTACAAATTTGGGTAGGTAATGTACCTACAGAAGGTATTTAGAATTTTGTGATTTATTATCTTTGATCAGCGACCTTGACTCCATGAAAATATCTTCAATTGTTTATAATAAGTAAAATTATTATAAAAATGAACAATTAAAGAAAATAAATAGAGTATTGTTTGTGTTAAATAAAGAACCTTCCCCTTAGCTGTTATCATATACATAAATAGTACATTATTTAGTTTAAAAATACGCTCTGTTCCAGTTATAATACTATTTTTAATCATATCGCACAATTCATGAATATTTAATTAATTGATCGGAGTTACCAACTGTTGCATCAGTGTTATCACAACAAGCCAATTACGTTAAGTTGTTATTTTAACGTACATTATTTACACTGTCTAACAACGATTATAATGATAAATGCAAAAAGCACCTAACTAAAAGGGCATTGCCCAAATTGTCGTATACTTGCACAATACATTTATTGATAATAAAAGAAATAGATTCTCAAGAAACATTCTGCAAATAGAATAAAAAAAATGTTGTAAATATTTTAAAATTTAATGACGAACTGTACTTATAATGCTTAGGTAGGTAACCCTTTATCAGTAACGAATTACTCTTGATATGGGCTTTACCACCGGAAACATGTGTACAATCCCACTCATTAAACTTTAAAACATGTAAAATCATTTCCTTTTCTTTTTGTTGTGTATTTATCACTTGAAAATCCGTTTATTGCTTATTAAAGTGCTTCATAATCCGTACTTTCTTTATCGACGCTCGGCGTCGGTTCGTTCACCAATGCGCAAGCGATAGGGACACAACAATATCAAACTCGGTCAGCAGTCCGTAAACTTGATTCAAAGAATAAATTACAATTTCTACCCCGAATAAACATCATTTATTTATACGAAATAAACAACTCGTCTAGGAAAAATAATATAACAGAAAAAAAGCCATGTCTAGTTGTAACAACAACTGTTAAGGGGTGATTTTGGAAATTGTTTTTGACGTCAGTGTTGGTACGTCCATCGAAGAGTTTCCATTCGGGGAATTTTTAATTATTGTAAATAATCATTACTTGGCTATGTGATCTATGATTCTAATAATAGATGGTTGCCATATCTTTTGCGAATATTGATTTTTTAGGGACCTCGACGTCTGATAGTTGAAAGGGAGGAGTCTGTAGCCAGCTGATCGATTTCAACGGGAAAGTGGAAAACTGCCCTGAAAGCGTAACTACCAGCCTGCTACCTTGTTCCTAAATTTGGATCTTGCTAATGATAATAGTGTTGCCGTGCGCGTCCCTTTTTATCAATTGAAATCGTTCGTTAAGTGCTGTGAAAATTCGTCTGCCTGCTTGCTAAAGTTATCCTTTCTTGGACCTGGTTGGAAAATAGGTACGTAGGACAGACTCTTAGCTCAAGGACATACGCTCGGAAAATATGGTAAAGCAATAATCAGTTTCTATATCGGTCCCTTTTATGTACTGTTTGCAATTGCCTTGCCCTAAATGTTGTTATGTCGCACGAAAGTAATGTATATTATCTAGATGAAAAACTCGATAATTTATTAAACTTTTACCGTTCTTCAAGTTAATTAGTAAAAGTCTTAGGTACAACTAATAAAGCGAAAATAATAATTTTCACTAAACATAAAGCAAGTTGTTCATTGTAAAATTTATTTTTGACGCAACAAATCCTACATTAACTATTTCATGAAGTGTATCTAAGCTAGTTGCATAATTAGGTAATACTAATTTATTAATGGAAGGGAACAGTTTGATTAAACATTATTTCAATATTAGTAAAAGTTATTTTAAGAATCCTATCTACTGTAGTTAGCGTAGATGACTTGGCACTAATGAATTTAGCGGAAATAATGTGTTGGTTCCGTTTATCGTATCAAATTTCCTGCTCTATTTATCAAAACCACCTGTTGGGTACGAAATTTAAATGCATTAAACTTGCAACAGCTAGTTAACTAATTTTTAATGTACGTTATGTAGGTAGATACATAAACGAAATAAATAAATAGGGCCACTGACAAATTTAAATATAAACCTCCTGTATATTACTTTAAAAGTTACCATAAACGAAGCCCTTCATGCTTGTACAAAATGAGTTTGAACCATTTGTTATTATATAAAAGTTTGTACTTATGAAAGATCTTTTTCCGATAAAACCCACACAGATTAAAAGACGTAGTGATACTGGGGTAGTAGGGATGATTGTAAATGCTAGTTTTTGAGCTTTAAGTGTAATTTATTGTTTGAATATTTATCAACATTGTTGTTAATACAGAACATTTTATCTTACAGATGGCGGGGGCAGATCCGAAATGGCAGAAAGATGCGGCAGATCAAAATTTCGATTACATGTTCAAACTGCTCATTATAGGGAACAGTTCTGTAGGAAAGACCTCATTCTTATTTCGATATGCTGATGACAGCTTTACGTCTGCTTTTGTCAGTACTGTTGGTATAGACTTTAAGGTCAAAACCGTCTTTAGGCACGATAAACGAGTTAAATTACAAATTTGGGTAGGTAATGTACCTACTTAGGTATTCAGAATTTTGTGATTTACTATCTTTGATCAGCTTAAACATTTATAGAANTATGGACGAATTATTAAGCTTTTTAATGTTAGCATTTAGCATTCTTTTAAGTGACCCATTATTAAGGGTACAGGGTTAATTTAAGAGAATCACAAAATTTTCAAGGAGGATTAGCACGGTACGGATTGTTGAAATGGCATAGCCTTTAGGATATGCTTCTTTTACAAGGAATGGCAATTTTAAAAAAGTATGAACTAAAGAAAAATAAAAATATTTTCAAAGAAAATCAAAATTTGCAACAATAATAGATAATAACCACCAAGCTCGAGCATTACTTTATTTTTAATTTTACCTTATTTCCTATGTTAGATCGGTATGTTCTGATGTTCTTGAATATTTTATTGTAAACCCTTGACAAAAATGTTCAGTCTCTCTCCAGTCTCTCAGAGTCTTTCAGAGTCTTTCAGCGTCTCTGAGAGCGTCTCTCATAGTCTTTCACAGTCTTTCAGTTATTGCCTAGGTGTTTTTATGGATCTCTCACAGTCTCTGTATGAGAGACTCGAACGATAAAATTGTTAATTCAGAGATTCGAGTCTCTCACACACAGATTGAATGAATAAAATTGAAAAATTGAGAGTCTCGAGTCTTTCGTAGAAAGACTGGGATCTCTGAAATATGTTGAACATGGAAAATTTTAACCATGTCTATCGAGACACCACTTATTGATAGATTCGAGTCTCTCGTTCAGAGACGCTAAACAGTTTTTTTGACAGTCTCTCTCAGCGATACCAGAGAGACGGAGACTGGATTGAGAGACGGAGACTCGAGTCTCGCTTTCAGAGACCCTGAGAGACTGAACATTTTTATCTCGGGGGTAATTAGAATTGAGACAAGAAATGCAAAATTAAAACATTAAAAGGCTATAATAACAATACAGTTAAAAGTTGAATTGAATTGTTTCTTGTTTTTTACTTTTGTTGTTAAAATGTTTCATATATCGAGTACTGCGAATAGTCTTAATTTACGATTTGGAAAATTTTTAGGACACAGCAGGTCAAGAACGCTATCGAACGATCACAACGGCTTATTATAGGGGTGCAATGGGATTCATATTAATGTATGATATAACCAATGAAGAATCTTTCAACAGCGTTCAAGACTGGTATGTACTTATGTAGAGTAACATTTAATTAAGTGAAAACTTCAGCAATTTATTATGATTTAGAATTTATTAGGTCCCATCAGCACGCATAGGTAACCAAAGAAAGGTTTTTTGTTGAATTTAAAGTGATTGCCTTCAGATTTAACCCGATAATTGATTCCAAATGTTTTTTCTATTTTAGGGTCACACAAATTAAAACCTATTCGTGGGACAACGCACAGGTAATTCTAGTAGGGAATAAATGTGATATGGAGGACGAAAGAGTAATTAGTTTCGAACGGGGAAAGCAACTGGCCGAGCAGTTAGGGGTGGAATTTTTCGAAACTAGTGCTAAGGAAAACATTAATGTTAAGGTAAATTTTACATTATATGATTACTTTTTATAATCGCAGTAACTCAAGCCTTAAATTATTGTTCTTAAAAAAAGGGAATAATTGAAAAGTTTAAACAAAAGCTTTTTTAAGAACGAGTTGTGTATTACAGTTTATGCAGATTGAAAATTATAACTCTAGCCTGGATAAGCCTTAGGCTAAAGATGAAAGTAGGTAAAGAACACTGGCAGGGTTGCTCCATTAAAGCACAACAAAGGGGTTTTGATTAATTTCTTTTCGTGTAGTTGCGATAAAGGGCTACTGTTAATTTTTGATATAAAATTAATCGATTGTATGTCGCAGTCACAATAAAACATGACGAGTAGTTGTGTTGGATGAATAGTAAAACTCATTCGGATTATTGTAGGTTGTATTTGTAATATCCAAATAGAGTAGGCAACGCATCGCCTTGCTCTTACTGAAACTGATATTAACAAAACAGTTAAAAGTAAGACAAAAATACTGGTATGCAAGGGAAGAAAAAGTAGGGAAAGGGTGAATATAAAAATAGGAGACGAAACATTAGAAGAAGTGGCTGATTTTAGGTATCTAGGAAGTCAGATAAGTCAGAACGGAAGGAGTAGTAGGGATATGAAACAGAGGATAGTGCAGGGTCGAATCGGCTTCAATAAAAAGAAGTTGTTCTATGCTAGCAAATGATTAATTTAGAAATTCGAAAAAGATTGTTAAAGGTGTATGTTTGGAGAGCGGCGCTGTACGGGTGCGAAACATACACGGTGGGAGTGGCGGAAAAGAAAAGGTTAGAAATGAAGAGGTATTAGAAAGAATAGGAGAACAGAGGACTATGTAAGTCACAAAAAATAGGTTAGTAGGACACCTTCTCAAGCATGAAGGTCTAGTTGAAGACATATTAGAAACAAAAACAGGAGTCAAGAGGAGTAGAGTACATTACATTACAATTCGCAAATAGTTAAGGATGTGGGTTGTTTTAGTTTTGGGGAAATGCGAAGATTAGCTCAAGGATAGGGGTGAACGTGCGTGTCCAACTAGTTTTAGGACTGACGACCTTATGATGAATGAATGAAATATTCTGAGCGTTAGACAAGGTTTTCCTATATACTGCGTATTCATCATTTGAATAAAGGTGTAACTGCTTAAATCTTGTAAAATAACCATCATTATTTATCCGTTCAGCATGTTCAGTTGACATCTTCAGGGAATTTGGCGTGGACGTAGTATCCTCTTCTGCGGTTGTGGTGACGCTTTCTGAGTATCTTTGAACCCTTTTCAAAGTTTAGCCGCAAAAGCTTAGCATTTTTACTGTGCGCTGTGCTCTGCGGATATAATTCCCTTAATAAATAATTAAATGTTGATTAATTTGCAGGCTGTTTTTGAACGCCTAGTGGATATAATATGCGACAAAATGTCCGACAGTTTGGACTCAGATCCTACTTTGGTAAGTGGGAATGCAAAGGGTCAACGTTTGACCGACGCACCCCAAGGACCTCAGGCTGCTAATTGCAATTGTTAAAGTCAACCGTTTAGATATATACGTACATACATATATGTATAATGCGGCCCTTAGCTAAATAATAACTTGGCACTTTCATAATTTCACAATAATTAGGTATTTGAATAAATATAAATAATGTATATCTATTTAAACCAAAAATGTTACTTCGTACTTTTGCTACCTACAAACTATTCATCGTAAAGCTTCACCGTAATCGAAAAAAAAAATTGATTATGAACTTTACCCGAAAACGTAAAGATAGCAACGAAATTCTGTTAAAAAGGATTTTTTTGTGGTCGTTTAAGAAACGTTTATAAAGATAATCTAAAACTGTGTCAATATTTAGACATAATTCTGTCTATGTAGCTAAAAATAAATAACATCTTTGGTAGCAGAAGAATAGAATAATCAATAAATGTGAAAATTTATTTTCTCTATGAAATACTATTTTGTTGCCAATGAATTACTTATAAAAAATATGTTAAATATTTTTGCAAACAAGAAAGAGTGGTCTATATATTTATTATCAGACCTTCACTTATCCGTACACTTAAAACAAAAAGCATAACAGAAAGCTCCCGTAATATTTATAATTTATTATTAATTATCGATATATTCTGACCAAGCTCAAAAATAATTAGTTTATTTTTACACACACAGACACAATACCAAACGAGGCATTTATTAGATTTCCTACCGTTGTTATCATCAAAACTGTGTTTTAGATAGATGTAAAAAAATAATGTTAAATTAGAGAACGAGTTTTTGTAGACTATTGAGTGGTAATGTTGAAATTTAAGAAAAAATGACTCTGACTAATACAGATGATATTGTAAAGTGTGTACACAGCTACATCATAATAGTATATACCTAAATATAGACGGCTTAACATATAGAAATGCGTGAAACTTTGTAAAAAAGTAAATCTAAATGTGTATATAAATCAGTCATATTTCCAATAAACATTTCATCATCTACAAAATGAAAAACAAAATTTGTCTTTAAAATACAATTAAACGGTCTAGTAGATAACCAACCACCTATTCATCATTAGACTGATTCGTTTTGGTACCTACGAGATATTTTAAGGTTCACACCTTGACTTCATGTTTACCAGTGAACCTTACATTTTCTTTTTAGAAGAAAAACACGCTTGTTTGGAAAATATATTGTGTAGTTAAAAATACTTATCTAAATATATTTCACTAAGTAAATCCTTAAATTGTAGTATTGGATTTAAAAGGGAACTGAATTTTCTGAAAATGTTCTTATGCTAATATGTTTGTTAAATTAATAATAAATCCAAAACAATAGCTCTAAAATGATGNTCAAATTTGTTTACTCTTGTACCGAAAATATAAAAATATTAACTATTAGTAATGTTTTAATATCATGAAAATTAAAAACCCTCTTGTATTAAATATGAAGCACATTGATCCTGTTCCTCTATTTCGTCAGAATGATTGTCGGAATCTTTTCTTCTACATGGCCTTTGTCGCATCTCGTACACACTTACGTTAATATACAGTAGAATCCGCTTATAATGACATCGAAGGGAAATGACAAACACGCCATACTAAGCGGGCGTCATACAAAGCATAGTCTTAGAAAATAAACAACTTTCTATTTTGGTAGAGAGGAAAACCATAAATTGTATATATTTATTAACAGAAAAAAAAAGAACGATGAATTGTAATATCAATATACATAAGAAGGGTCAGAAAAATGAGCGAAAATGTTGTTATTAAACATTTGGGTCACTATAGCCGGATACGATTTCTTGAGAATCAGTCATAATAAACGATATGTCATTTTAAACGGAGTCATTATATCCAAACTTTCCTATAGAGAATTTAATATGAAAATCAAACTTAACATTGCAATTACTTCATATTAAGCGGTTGGTCAATATAGACGGAGTCATAATAAACGAATTCCACTGTATCTTAGAAGACGTGCTTGTCTGCATTGAAACAATGACATTAATAAGTAATACGTAAGCACTCTTTAGATAAAGCAAGTTGAAGGTTATAAAATAAACATTATGTTTATGTTTTATTTTTTGTTATTATAGTATTAAGGAAATGTTTCTCGCATTTTCAGAAAATAACCGCTACATTGGTAAAATACGTAATTTATTCAGTATCTAAACGTCCTCGTTACTCGTTAAATGAAAACCAGTTTAAGGCGGCGATTTTGGAAAATTAGGTAAATTTAGAAATAATTTTTCAAAAAGACCCTACCCAATTCCGAGTAGTTCTAATATCAATAATTCCATAATTCTACAGGATTATTCTACATTCTTATGGGTACATCTTTTTGATTTAACGTAAAAGTTGCCGGCATTACAGTTATGAGCTTACATTGTATTCCACAGGTTCCTAAACAATTATGAGTATGTGTTACTGTTTTCTAATAAAGAAATGTTACTTAAATTTGCTGAAACAGTTTTTCTATTTTATTTTATTATTTACGATAAATAACCATTGTTTTAAAGCGAACATTCGTTATTTATAAGTGTGAGTTAATGTTAAACTGTTCATTGTTGTTATTATTATTGTATGTACTATATTTATTGCCTATATTTAAATTTAATTAATTTATGTCGGTTTATCTAACTTTTTTGTAAATAGTATAAATTCACTAATATGTAATATAATGAGGAGTAGAGTAGATTACATTACTATTCGCAAATAGTTAAGGATGTGGGTTGTTTTAGTTTTGGGGAAATGCGAAGATTAGCTCGGGATAGGGGTGAACGTGCGTGTCCAACCAGTTTTAGGACTGACAACCTTATAATGATGAAATATTTCGGACGTTAGACAAGGTTTTCCTATATACTGCGTATTCATCATTTGAATAAAGGTGTAACTGCTTAAATCTTGTAAAATAACCATCATTATTTATCCGTTCAGCATGTTCAGTTGACATCTTCAGGGAATTTGGCGTGGACGTAGTATCCTCTTCTGCGGTTGTGGTGACGCTTTCTGAGTATCTTTGAACCCTTTTCAAAGTTTAGCCGCAAAAGCTTAGCATTTTTACTGTGCGCTGTGCTCTGCGGATATAATTCCCTTAATAAATAATTAAATGTTGATTAATTTGCAGGCTGTTTTTGAACGCCTAGTGGATATAATATGCGACAAAATGTCCGACAGTTTGGACTCAGATCCTACTTTGGTAAGTGGGAATGCAAAGGGTCAACGTTTGACCGACGCACCCCAAGGACCTCAGGCTGCTAATTGCAATTGTTAAAGTCAACCGTTTAGATATATACGTACATACATATATGTATAATGCGGCCCTTAGCTAAATAATAACTTGGCACTTTCATAATTTCACAATAATTAGGTATTTGAATAAATATAAATAATGTATATCTATTTAAACCAAAAATGTTACTTCGTACTTTTGCTACCTACAAACTATTCATCGTAAAGCTTCACCGTAATCGAAAAAAAAAATTGATTATGAACTTTACCCGAAAACGTAAAGATAGCAACGAAATTCTGTTAAAAAGGATTTTTTTGTGGTCGTTTAAGAAACGTTTATAAAGATAATCTAAAACTGTGTCAATATTTAGACATAATTCTGTCTATGTAGCTAAAAATAAATAACATCTTTGGTAGCAGAAGAATANAAATTTTCAATACATATTTACAATGTGAATCCTTCATGTTTAGTTATTTATATATCTAAGCTAAAAATAGTTAAAAAATTTTGATAACGACAGTTTACTGTTGCGTTTTGTACCAGTGTTTGAAGAATAAAATTTCGTGTCCGGCCGAAGACTTAATAAGAGAGGAATAACAAGTAATAATTATGTAGTGTATTCGTAAGTAGGTAATGTATTTAAGGTAAACGGATATTATCACTTTTCATTTTATTTTAAAGCTTTTCTAGTGTGTCTTAAAATCTAATTCTCATTAAAATCCATTAACTATGCTACTTATACATGTATAATAACATGGTATCGCATAAGATTTCTTATCACGACGCAGTCTAAAAGAGACTGATAACGTTTCTAAAATTCACTATGTGTATATTAACAAATAATATTAATAAAAAATAATTCCGGGTGACATGTTGTAATTAAAGAATAATTTACTTATTTGACCTTCACCTACGGCCTGATATTCTTAAAATTTATAAACACCTGCAAAAAAAAATTGAGAAACTGGACGGCATTTGAACTTTTAATAAACGCAAAAAAAATGCAAGTTATATGTAAGTAATCAATGATATTGACTGCTGTTTTGAATACACCTTTCATAGTTGAAGTATGCAGACGGTACTGGATGTGCAAAAATTCCTCGTATTAAATGAATTTTAATTTTATTTAACAATCATGACCATCAGTTTTCAGCATTACGATTTATTTGAATAAACAAACTTCACCTTTTAGACATTTTAATAATTTTTTGGAAGGTACGATCATAATTCGTATACATTAAGTTGTACAAATTATTTTTAATCGGAAAAAATTTCATATATAGCCCTACAAATTTTTTGACATCTAATTACTTTTGTCACGAAGATTATTTGTCTAATCGACTTATTACACCTACAGGAAATATTGGAGTAATTGTTTATTTATCTATTCTTTTCAAAGTACTATCAAAAGGTTCTTGAAAATATTTAAAATATAAGACACAGGCAGAAAATTACTTCATTTCACACCTGGTAATTTTGACAAACATTTTCATATTTTCAAATATGCCAATCAGTTGTCTAAGAAATTATGATGAAGACATTTATATATGCTTGGTATTATAATGTAGCTATTAGCAATTCTAATTAACTATTGAATATTAAAACAATCGACAAAGTTTGCTAAGTAGTGCAATGTTTACTCGTTAGTTAGTTGATAACTACATAGTGAATAATAAAATTAAAAATATTTCATACAGTATTTTTGGTACTTTATTCAATTTTTTCTTTTCGCTTTTCTCTAATTTGTACTTTACTTGTTATACACACATATGCATGTAACTACTGCAGATATTTCTATTTTTTGCTAGAATAATATTTAGAAACGTAATATGTCAGTATCATATGCACAATCACTGTTACAAAGCCAAGAGTACAATATTTTAGACCTTTTTCATATTTCCCTGGTAAAAAATTAGAATTAATGAATGCATTATTGAACACATTAGGATACCGTTTTCGTCTTTTCTTTTTAATTAACGAAGTAAAGTTGGTGTTGTAAATTTTAGACAGGCCACAGGGATAAGAAACAATAATACAATATTTTAGAAATTTTAAAATGTCGATGAAATGTATTAATAGTACAAGTACACAATGTTAGCGTTTTCTTTTAAGTGCATCTTTTTTATTTCTTTTTCCGCTAAAACTATAATCTCATTTNTTAATCCGGCGATATTTACCTGACTAAAAAACATAATGTTTCTGCTTCTCCATATCGAATTCTTTGGTTTGTCTCTAAGAATGGGAAGAGTGTAGCGGAAGAACAAGTGTTCTAATAATAAGATAAGTAAGCCAAGAACCATCCCGACTCCTAGCAAAAATAAAACATCGGTTACTGCTGCAGAAGGCAAGAGGCGAAACCTCTAGAGTTACAAGGCTCCTATAATAGTAAAATTACGTGGTCGTTGAAATATCACTCTACAATCTAAGGCCATTTATTTTTCACAGGCAAAACGTCTCAATGTTTGGCCTGTAGTCAAATAAACGACTTTTTACTTCCCGAATCGCGCTCTCTCAATTAGTTGCCTCAAAACCAAAGGACTTTCTATAAAAAAATCCAACCGCACCTTCAAGTAGCGTCGTAGATTAAGCTCACGGTGGATCGACTGTTTCTTTGTCTCTTATTGCTTTTAGTATATGACTTCTCAATTCCGATTCGGAACTTCGCCACAGATTGACCAATTCGTCTTTCGAAAGTCTATCCAAAGGAGACTTTCCACCGTCCGAATTTCTCGGGGAGCAGTTTGGTGGCGGAGGAGCGGGAGGAAGGTCGTGTTCGTGGCACCTTCTTCTACTTTTGGTCGTAGAAGGATTTCCGTCCAACGAGTGCGATTGCTCTTCCAATTTCTTCTTTCTCGGAAGAGACGTGGAAGTGGCATCTCCTAAACTTTGATGTCGCGTTTTGTGTCGTCGTATCACGGCAGGCTTCTGCGTTGTGTCTTCCACTTGAATTATAGGGGGTTGGGTGGTTGCTTTGAATGTTTGTTTGGAGTTATTGCCTGTGGGGGTGGGTTTTCGTTTGTTGCCGAGTTGTTGTTGGAGTTGTTCGATAGTGAGACGGTTTCTTCGTGCAATTTCGTCGTCTGACAGATTGCTTTTCTCCTCGCAACTGACTCGAAGTAATGCGTTCGAGTTTCCGTCGCTATCCGGTAGATTCTGATAGCTTTTTGTCGTGTGATTATCGAAGCTGAGCGTTCTAGACGCCCGACGCTTCTCCGGCTTGTTGAGAGTCTGATCGCTTTTTCCGAGGGTCGCGCTGTACTGGGGATGGAGGTGCTGTTTGTTGAAAGGTTCGCCGACGTAGAGAGGCAACGTGGCCAGCTTCTTACCGATACTCTCGGCGTCGGAGAGCTTTCTCTGGAGGTCGTTCACCCTTGCACTACATACGGAAACGTTCTCGATCGATAAGACGGGACTTTTGCCTGCCAGTTTGCTCCCTGTACTGACGGTGTCTAGATAACTAGATCTCCTGCTGTTTATGTCCGGAGGGCTATTGCTCAGACACGATACATCCTTGCTCAATCTCCTGCCGACACTACTACTCCTATCGGTGTGTAAGGTTTGGGATGAGAATACGCTGTCCGAGCTGAACCTTCGCACATTTAATGTCGATGCCGTTTTTGGTTTTGTTTTTGATCGCGGACTGAAAAATTGCTTGTTAAAATAGGCGGTTGGAGATTTGAGTTTCGGAGGGTTTTCAGTTTTCGGACTCGTTCTCATGAAGGTCCTGCGAAGGATGCTCGGACTTAAATTAGATTTTTTTTCGGCAGCGGTCAGTTGGTACTCGGTGTCTTCTGTTACGCATTCAAGAGACCGGGGACGTGACTCTTGCTGCTGCCTGTTAATTGAGCTTTACTTCCAAGGTTATTAAGGGAGTCTACTCGCTAAAACTAAGAGATACTTACCTCCTTATTTCTTGGATCATTTCGAAAAATTGTGCTTTGCTGCGCCTCCTTCGGCGTTGTTCGTGTTCCTTCTGGAAGAAATGACGACAATACGATCAAGAAAATACTACAAATGACGCGGTAAACGCCATCTGTAGTACGATGCTACATTTTAGGATTACGTATACTCCAACAAGGAAAGGAATCCCCCCAGATATTCATATGTTTAAATGGACCTTGTTAGAGCATACGTTATCCTAAAATGTAGCATCGTACTACAGATGGAGTTTACCGCGCATTTGTAGTATTTTCTAAAACGCGCTGTTAAGACAGTAGGTAAAAGTTGGTCTGCGTTCTTTTGGAGCTGTCTGCGACGCGCTGATGAGATTCAAAAAGATCGAAATCGCGATCCGCGTCTGGCAGTTTCGACAGAATACAGACCACTTCGAATTATTTTATTCGATTA